TGGATAGCTTGGCAAATTGTTGAGTGCATACGTATGTGCTTCTTTTCACAAGCAGACTTGTTTATATAGGCAAGCAAGAGACGTTGTCCATAAATCAAGTTTAATGATAATAATGCACTTTCCTTTTGGAGAAGATCTTGTCTGAAGAAAGCCGTTAGCATTTAATTCTGTCTTGAATAACCAGTAACGCTTCAGAGTCTTCTTTGCTGTAACTGCTGATAACGCTTCAGAGTATTGATGACTTGGTAAAGATGTCTTTAATCAGAGTCAGAGTATATTTGTTTAGGCGCAGATTCTGGTCATCACACTTCAGCGTATAATCTGGTAGCTTCAGCGTGTAGCACATATTGCTGATCTTCTGATGCTGATGTCATTCTGATGCTGATTCCATCAGAACTTCTGCATATACAAAACATAATTTTAAGGAGCATAATTGTTCTTTGTATATATCTTTGAAATAATTTATTCTTTGTATTTTGTTATCATCAAAACTCTAATCAAGGGTTGTAGAATCAAACTATGTTCTAACAGTATCTACATGAAGGATGCGAGATGCATAAGCCAGATGATCCTTACAAAGGGGTAGGACAAATTTGGGGTATGACACTGCTGTTATGCAGTCCTGCCATCATTGTTGTGGGCATTTCATATTCATGCATATTTCTTACAAAACTAGACATATGATTCCTAGAAGTTGTGAGCATTGGTGGTCTTGCATTTATTGGATGTGTTGTGGTAACTATGCTTGGTAAAGTCGAAGACACGACCATCAGACTGGAACCTACACTCGTCGTCGCGCTGGTATTTCCTCCTAAATTTTGATCCCTTTCAAGAGTTCTAGGATCTACCATTTTTCTACCACTTCTTAATTTCATGCACGAAACAAGAAGACTCAAACACAAATGTATCCCACCAGGTGTGCCAATTTGTTTCTCCGTGAAACAATCAATAGCCTCTTATTAAAGGTTGCTTGTAGGATCGACTACAATAATATTAGGCTTAGTGTTTTAAGTGTTTTTGGGTTGAAACTGGTTGATATTGAATAAAAGGGAAAAAGTGAAAGACAATTGCAAATTAAAGAAATTAAAGACAAGACTTGTAATTTAAAGTGAAAACTGGAAATTGCTATGAATTTAAATGTAGAAGCATTCATACATTGTTAAGCCTGAAACTCGTTCCTCCCTTATATGTGGGTACTTTGAGTGTAATACTCTAAATGTGAACAAATGCGATCTTTGACACAAATACAAACATTTGCTTAAATATAAATCTTAAGTATGTAATCATTGACAGTTACTAGCCCATGTTGGGACTGTATAGAGAAACTGCCCTAAGCTGCTTTGAACACCCCTCACGTTCTTACTGACTTGTGCATTGATAATTGTTTCCGCCACCATAAATCTTTGCTCGTCGACCCCTATGTTTGTCGATGACTGCCTCTGAATCCCATGTCTTTCATCGACTAGCTCTTCTGGTCGATACCCATCAACCTGGACGACACTTCCTGTTGTTTTCCATAAACTCATCCCTTTTCAGCCAAAAAAACCTTATAGCTTAAGGCTTATTTCCCTAGTAAAAAATTTCTTTTCAACACACCCTTATCCTCACCAAAATTATAGAAGAAACCATTTTCATGCAGAGTGCATTGGGAAATTAAATTCTTTCTCAATTCTAGAATATTCTTAAGATAATTTAATGTTCGCAAGCCACTATCTTCCATAACAATTTTAATTTGTATCATTCTTGTGATGACACATGCTTTATCATCAACCAAAGAAACAAATCCAAAATTACCCGATCTAAATGTATTAAAAGACATCTGGTGCAACATCATGTGGTAAAAAAGCATCTATAGTAAAGAATTCTAGATTTTTTTCATTTTCTAGATTACATATAATGTATATCTTCTATATGACAAGAGACATTAGTTTAAACCACATTCATAGAACTTTTTGGATTTTGTTTTTTATTTGGACAATCATTTCTCCAATATTTAGTTTGTTCACAACCAAAGCACTATAATGTTTTTATATTCTTGAATTTAGACATTTTTTCTAGAATCTTTTTTTAGTCTTTATTTCGCCCACAACCTTGGCTCCCTTTCACATACACACATTCATCTTGAGTTATTTCCTCTATATTATTCCTCCTTTGAGAATGAGACGAGAGTGTAGTAGTAATTACATCATGGTTAATAGTGTCCATATTGTAGGTAAGAATGGTCACAATAATCTAGTAACGAGCACAACAATAAATTTTCCTTGTCTTCATCATCTAACTTCACCATAAGCCTCACCAAATAGGTGATTATATTGTTTAAGATATTGACACGTTATTACAATTCAGATCCTTCACGCATCTTCAGATTGTATAGTCGATGCTTCACAAATAATTTGTTCATCAACGACTTTTACATATACTAACTCTCCAATTTATCCCGGACCGCCTTTGGAGACGTTATGTATAGTGTATGATATACCACCTCATCTGAAACACATTGATATACTAATTATACGACCTTCTTCTGCAACTATAACCAATCTATCCCAAACCTCCTTCTAAGATGATACGTCCAGGAAATGAAGCACTTTTATCCAGATAACAATGTTTTAAAAACAAGTCTGATCATCAAACTAATGAGGATACTGGGTCATTGGTTCATTGGTCGAACCACTTGGTCACTCGTCAAACCGCATGAGTAAACCAAATTAAATCGAATAATTCGATTGAATAAACCTGTATCTATAACAAAACTATATATTTATTAAATCGATCGAATCAGATGACTCGACCTCTAAAAGATATCACAACACTTACAAAATTTCAAAATATCATAATTTCACATGTTCATTCTTTAAATTCAAATGGCTTAAATGTAGTTTTAATCCCTATATTTACATATTTTTAACATTTTATCCCCCTTTAAAAAGATTCAACTTTTTGATCCCTCAATTAAATTTTTGCTGAGATTTTTTTTAGTCCCTCTTCATATTTGTGTATGTTGCATCAAAAAAATATGACGTGGCCATAAATATGTGGCGCCATACCATTAAATAAAAAATTAGCAAATATAAAATTTCAATTTTATTTTTTAAAATTAAATTTTTAATTCTTAGAAATTACTTTTCTTTAAGTTTTTTTTATAAATTTTTTTCTTCAAATTATTAAAATAACATATTTGCGCCTATGGCCCATGCGTCACCAAAATCCAATTAAGACACTAGCTTTAATTAACCCGACCCTTATATACATCAAAATTATTTCTCACCAAATCGACATGGGATTAAAAGCATTGAAAAGTACATTCAAGTTTGAACCATTTTCATGACCATTCCATTCACATAATTGATGATGTTAGTAAACACAAAATGATTAAAGTCTCATTCCAGTCAATGAAATATCCAAAAATCAAAGAGTGTTGCTACTAATAATAGCAAGGAGGATGATTTAGTTGTTTATGAATATGCAAATACTGCTGCTCAAAATATAATGATTGAAGAGAGTACTTTGTTGGTGAAGTTCTGCAGCATTTCATTAGATCAATGGTTGTGATGTAATGGTGTTCTTGGGTTGATGCATTTGAATTTTTTTTACAACGGAATTCCCACATCGAATTTGGACCAACAAGGACTTGTGTTTATAAAGTAATTTCACAGTACGCTTCTTGAAATTGTTAGTATTGGGCCGTTGATGTAAACATGAGCGTAGGCTTAAATTTAATCCAATTCAAATTTTAAATATATTTATCACTCATACAAGACACATGATCACTCTAATTTTTAATTTAATTAGTTTGTTCGGTTCAATTTTTAAAATGACGTCAGATGGTTCTCATATTAGTTATGAGTTACTTGTGGATTTTCCTTCAAAAATAAAAAATTTATGTATTACTATTTGATTACTTATCTTGAAACTAATACGGTCTTCTCGTTATAGTTTTATGTTTTCATTGAACCTATACATCAATATTTGATCAGGTTAGTGGTCGATATAACTCTTGAGAACATTCGACATATTGTCATGTTCTCATTGAAATCATACATTAGTATTTGATTACTAGTCTTAGAACCAATTTGGTCTTGTCGTTATATTGTCATGTTCTCATTCAACTCATACAATTAGTATTTGATAAGGTTAGTGATCTAGTAAGAGCATTGTTGTCAGGATCGCACCATATCTCTTGAGATCGTACGACCTTACACGCTTGCAACTATTCTCTGTGTTAATAGAGATTTCAAAGATCGTGGAAGATGATGACGATGTTTACTCATAGAGGAAAAACACTGGATCTTGTCATCACTAACCATTCGGTGCATATTATCCTTGTACAAAGCCTTCCTCTTTCTTTCTCTCAAGACAAAACCTTTTCATTATCTCTACTATATTTTCTTTAGACATGTTTGAGACAACTCAGTTTTCAGTTGGTGTATAAGAAATTTCTATTTGAGAAAATTCTGTTTTTTTTAGATGAATGTCCGCTAGTTATGATTAAATTTTGATTGTCCGTTTAATTTCTTCTTCCACTGTCATCTTGTGAAGGATAAGGATAGCCGGAATTTTATTTGTTTGATTATACTTGAAACATAAGGTAAGTGCTTTCATTAGATCAATCAATTTCTCAGTTCAAAGTATTATTATTATTATTATTCAGTAATCTTCAATTTGTCTTCTTTTCCTGACAGTAACATAACATATAAAACAATGTTACTAGTTATCTTGCTTAGTGAATAACATGATACAGTTGTTACACAATTTAAAACTCATAAAGCACCACTAGTGTCTACTTTAGAGAATATAAAAAAGAAAGGGACAAAATGGCAAATTTACAAGTACCACATTGTTATAAATGACAGCAAAATACTCAAACTATGATGGACTGGTCTCATCTCTCAAAAAAAACTCCCAAGTCTCAATCAAACACATACACACACAAAAGTACTACTTTCTCTTTGTCTCATTCAAATCACAAACTATAGTGTCTCCCAACCTTGATTGATTCTATGTCTTCTGATCTCTATTCTTTTGGTACAACTTTCCACACACATTCAACCTCAGAACATGATGGAACTCAAGATCTTCCATTTCTCTCTGATTCCTTCCCTTTCTTCAACAACACTTCTTCAAACTCATTTCATCACCCTCTTCTTCCTTCTTCTCTAGACCCTTTCTCACCTTCTTTTTTCTCTTTCTCTCCTTCCACTCATCAAAACCTTGCAAGCTATCATCTAACTAATGAAACTTTCTCAGATTTTGATCTCTCCCAAGTTAAAAACGAGGATTCATCATCACAAATAAGTCCTCATTATTACAACAATAATCAGTTTCTTCCTCATCGTTACACTGGTGCTGAAAATGTATCAAAATACATGCAAAGAAGCTTCAGTAGTAACTCTTTCGAAAAGAAACCCAGTTTTCAATTTCAAACTCACCATGATAATCTTATGGATTCATCCAAATTTCAACTCCATGATTTAAGCTCAACTGATAATAGTTTGAGAAGGGTTTGTAGCACAGGTGATTTGCAGGTAAATTCGCAGGATATACTTTTTTTATTTTTTATCGTAGTCTGTTTATCTTCTATTTCTATATAATCGGTATTATATAAAAATTCAAACATTAACATTTTCGAAGTTGATTTTATTGAAATTTGTTGAAAAAGCAGAACATGAAAGAAAATAACATGTCTCCAACGGAGGGAAATTTGCAAGAGGAATCAAATTTCAAAGTAGGGCGTTACAGTGCTGAAGAAAGAAAGGAAAAAATTTCGAAATACAGAGCTAAGAGAACACAAAGGAACTTTAATAAGACTATTAAGGTAATCAAGATTATAATGTAAAGTAATTATGAAAGTTTGATTAAGAAGAAGAAGATTTTGACTTCTGAATTTGCGGTTTTATGTCAGTATGCATGTCGAAAGACACTAGCAGACAATCGACCGCGTGTCCGTGGCAGGTTCGCGCGTAATGATGAGCCTAACGAGATTCCTAAGGTTCCGTGTAGAGATGAAGACGAAGTCGATTTTTGGGTAAATAATATTATTAATTAATTAACATTTATCTGATTTAACGTGTTAATTCAGACGTATTATATTTTAAGTTTTATAATATTATTGTCAATGTCACACATATAATATAATGTCAAGTGCTATATAAATTTTATTAGTATTTTTGAAAATTTCTTAAGTAAAAAGTAAAAAATAGAAAATATTAAAAACAAATATATATTATAATGTTGAAATAACACAAGTTGCACTTATGTAGATGGAAGAATTGAGGTTATATGAAGATGATGTAACAGTGGGAGCAGCAGAACAATATCTGAAGAGTAATAGTTATGGAGTTAGTCAATTTCAATACTTTGGATTATGAGTTTTTAGTGTTAGGATAATGGAAGAAGAATCTTTAGACTTTAGGGTTGATCAAAGTGGAAGTGTTTCTTTCTAATGTTTTTGTTATAAGAAAAAATAAAATATATGAATAAGTCACACTCACATGGAATCTCAGATGTTCCTAAGGTCAATATGAAATTTGGTTGTTGGAGGGTGCCCTAGATAGATAGCTAGTTTATAGTTGCATAATATTCCACTATTATTTTTGTATTTTAAGATATGATCTGTCTATTGTTTAGTGAAATGTATATTGAATTCATAATCATTGGTATCCTTTTATACATTCAACCTTGTTTGACATGGTGAATAAAAGTACTATATTAGTTTTTTTTTTCTTCTTTATTTTGATATTGAGTGAGTATCAGGGCCGGCCCAACACTCAATGAGGTTTAAAGCAAATTTTAAATTGAGGTCTTTTATATTTTAATAAAAAAATTAAATTAAATTATTATAATATTTATTTAAAATTTACTCTTCGAGCTTTTTGAGATGCAAAATCATTTATTAAACTATTATAATCAATTTCATTTAACATTTCTTTTTCAATCGATAATAAAGACAATCCATTTAATCTATGTTGAGACATTGTTGACCTTAGATAAGATTTTATTAATTTTAGTTTTGAAAAACTTCTTTCTGCCGAAGCAACAGTTACATGAATCGTTAACATTATTCTATAAGCAATAAATGCATTTGGAAAAGAGTTGAGTCTTATTATATAGTTAAGTATATCAATTGGCGTATCATTCTCAACATGTATGATTTCTCTTAATATTTTCAATTCTAAAAATAAGTCTAATCCATCAATATCAGAGTTATCGTTATGTTTTAACGAACATTCGAGGTTAAGACAATATTCTTTTAAATTTTCAATTTCCAATGACCTTAATTTCACTATACTAAATAGAAAACCAAAAATATTTTGATATATTTTAAATTGTTCAAATCTACTTCGAAATGATGTAATTGCATGATCTAATATGTACAAAAAATAGTCAGATTTAAATGATTCTTCAAGAGTTTTTAAAACTTCATTGTCAATAATCTCATCAAATTGTCTCTTTCTACGAATAATACGTTTTTCACGAAACTTAGGTTCTATATTCATTTCCGTAGCAATTTCTTTAGCTGAAATTATGGCATTTTCAAAACCATATTCCCAGTATTTTTCGAAAAAAGAAATAAGTCCTTTCAATTGCTCTATAGCAACATCAATGCTCATATCCTTTGATTGAAAGTGTTTACTAACTGAGTTTACAGTGAACAATATTTCATACCAAATAGTCATGCCTAGCAAAAATTCAAAATTTTCAAGCTCATAAGTTGCCAAACATTCAACTTCACTTTTTATTTTAAGTCCATCATTCATTTCACCTAATTTAAATAAAGCATCTCTTATTTGTGAAGTTTGGAATCTTATAGCTTTTACACTTTCAATACGACTTTCCCAACGTGTTTGTGACAATGACTTCAAAGTAAGGTTAGGGATATGGTCTAGTAAAATTTTCCATCTTTTAGTAGAAGAAGAAAATATTGTATAAATACGTTGCACCACTCCAAAAAATGATGTAGCTTTGGAACAACAATTTGCCATATCACAAAGTACCAAGTTTAGACTATGACAACCACATGGTGTATAAAATGATCTAGGATTAACATCTAAAAATCTTTTTTGAACACATTAATGTTTTCCTTTCATATTAGAATCATTATCATAACCTTGTCCTCTTAAGTTAATAATATCAAGACCAAGTATATTTAGTTCATTCATAATAGCATCAAAAAGACCTTTTTCCAGTTGTATCATCTACTACTAAAAATTCTAAAAAATACTCAACTACTTGTATCGGAGTTGAAGAAAAATCTACACATCGTAATACAATAGACATTTGTTCTTGATGACTTATATCAGGAGTACAATCAAGTATGATTGAAAAATATTTTGATTCCACAACTTTTTTTATAATTTTTTTTTGATTTCATTTGCTAGCAAATCTATTAATTCATTTTGTATTCTATGTCCAAGATAATGGTTATGAATTTCATCATTTTTTATTCGACGAATACGCTCTTGCATTAGAGGATCAAATTCTGCAATCATTTCAATTAGACATAAAAAATTTCCATTATTTTCTTGATAAATCTTTTCGTTTGTTCCACGAAATGCTAAGTTATTTTTTCCAAGAGTTTTAACAACTGCAATGATTCTAGGTAATAAATTTCTCCAGTGCTCTCTTTTTCTATTAATTCTTTCTTGAACATTCTTGTCAATTGTTTTATGTTTTAATAATCTCATTTCTAAATCAATCCATGAACTCATATTAACAATATGCTCATTACTCATCTCATGACTCTTCAACTTAGCACTAATATTTCTCCAATCATTACTACCTTCATGTGCTAATTTACTTATACTATGAAGAGCATTAAATAATTTACAACAAAAGCAAAACACTTTATCCAATTTTTGAGAATAAACCAACCATCTTCTTTCACGTTTCTCTCTGTTCCGTTGGATAATTGTTGAATGTAAAGTGATGAAGAAAAGTGTCTTGCGTATGCATCCTTAGGAAAATCTATATCGGTAATTAACTTTAATATGACCCTTTTCTACTAATAAATCTCTCAAATTTGTGTCAATAGTTGTCCATTGACTTGGGTCATATATATTTTTATGAGATGATTTTTCTAATACTTTTTATCTATCTTCATTGTTAGTGTCAGAATCAATATTATCTTGCCTATTAATCGATACTATAATTTCATTATCACCCGCTATTCCTTCTCTATTTTCATTAGCATATATATTGTTAACTTGTTCATCAACTACCTCTTCTCGATTTTCATTTTCATCATGGTTTACATTATTAACTTGTTCATTCAGCGAACAATCACTATTATTTTCGATTTCACTTTTTTTGTTTGTCTTAACAAATTTGTCTAAAACCCCTTTTTGTGATTCAATCAAAGCTTCAACTCTTTTCTTTTTCTTGAGTTTCGAATAGCCCGATTCATATTTTCGAGTCGACATTTATATATTTTAAAACAAATGAACAATTCAATCAAATCTTGAAAGTAAATAAATAAAATAAACAATTAAAATAAAACTCTAAATGAGACTAAAATAAACAAACAGAATAAAATAACTGAAATAAAATAAACAAACTAAAATAAAACTAAAGAAATAAAAGAGAATAAAAAATAAAAAATAAACAAAACAAGTAGTAACAAAGAAAATAGAACCTGTTTGTCGACAAAAATAGAATAGAAGAAAGAACCGCTTATTTTCCGTCAATTAAAAAAATAAACCGATGATTGATTGAAGATAGAGAATTAGAAAGAACTCAATAAACTAGAATAGGAGAAAATGGTGTTTGCCTCTGTAGAAAATATTCAATTGCAGATTGAGTGTTTGATATTGAAAGAAGAAGAAGAACAATCAGTTATTATTGGAACAATGGGATTTGTGAAAATATTAAATCAATTAATACTAATTATTTAGAACGTTAGGATTGGAAGAGAAAGAGTCAAAAAAGTACAAAATTGAAAAAGTAATGACAGCTTTACGTGTTTGACTGGTAAACAAATTTATTAAAATTATTAAATTAATTTAAATTAATTAATTGAGGCTTATTTTTAGGTCTTAATATCTTTGATTCTAAAAATATATTTAGGGGCCTAAAGCCCTGTGTTTACCATCTTGGCCCAATGGCCGGCTCTGGTGAGTATAAGGAGCATTCAAATTCGTTTCATTAAACTATGAATTTGAATGTTTTGTAAACAAACTCAAAGGATTGTGCACTCTTCTTGAGCTATTGTTTATGAACATGAACAAATACAATATAACCAAATAAAAAAGACTTAGTAAACAAACTCAAAGGATTGTGCACTCTTCTTGAGCTATTGTTTATGAACATGAACAAATACAATATAACCAAATAAGAAAGACTTAGTAATATGTAATATGGAAATGTAGAAAAAATATGAGAACATAAATTGAATAACATTAACATTATCTAAGATTCAAGATGAGATCTAACTAATGAAATAGGTGGCATCAAGAACCGACTCCCTCTAATAAGAGTTGGCAACAAACATTTAAAATAGGAGACATAGAACAACTTAAAATAAAAGACATATTTTTCTTTTAGAAACACTTGTTTTGTTTGGGGGTGTCACCACGAGTGAATTCATGGATAACTTCGTGTTTACTAATGAAGTTGAAAAAATGTGATTAACATATTCTTTATTATTTTCAGAATAAAATATTTGTATACTTTTCTCAAATTGTGTTCGTATCATAATATAAAATTGGATAAATAATTTTGATATTTTTGATTTAGTATTCGTCAAGAAAATTTAAATTATTCAGAGAGACGGTCATCAACAAAAGAAATAAATAATTTTGTACCAAAAATATTAGAGGCAGAGGAAAGTCCTCGAATATCAAAATGAATAACATTAAATGGTTCAACACTTTTATGAAAGGAGAAGAAACACAAATGTGTTTTGCTAATTGGCAAACACCTCCTTTACAAAAATCAACAGAATGTTGAAACGACAAAGATAAAAAAAGACTTACATATATATATGGAGGATGTCCAAGACAGTTGCGCTGATGTCAAATTTGCGAGGCAGAAGAGAAATATTCGAATTGAAGATAGCAGGACAATACCTTTGAACCATTTGTCTCCTTAGAGAAGTAGTAGAACCCTTCATTTTCTTTAGCAATTCCAATTGTCTCCATGTGGTAAGGTCCTGAAAAACACAATGAGAAGTAAAAAAAATGTTAAATTCCAATTTGAATTTTTTTTAAAGAACCACTTTTTTTTTTAAAAAAAATCTCAAATAACCACTTTTTCAAAAAAAACTATCAAAGTAACCACTTTTCAAACAAAAAAAAATTGCCACACAGGGTCAAGCCACTATGTGTGACACATACATGTAAATTGGAGAGGAGGCGCCATACTGTATGACTTA